TAATAATAGTAATGAAAATAAATATTATTGGCATACATAAGAAGTATCTTTTTAAGTTTAAAACGATGAACTCTTGTGATGATGGAAATATCATGCGGGTTTTCTATAAAGATGCAGCTTCCTTTTAGGTAACTTTATAGATTATTCTTTCCACAGAAAAGGACGCATTTAAAATTCGATTTCCGCTTAAAGAACAGCTTACCATTGAGATGTCTAAGATCTACCTGAAAACAATGTTTTGGATTTGTTACACTTGACAGCATTAATAATTCAGACATGTTTATTCTATAAGAAATTATTTGTAATTTCTTGTAATCTGGTAGCTTTTGGCGTTTTTTTTTTGCAAATATAATTAGAGGATCATTAGCCAAATAGTAGCTTTCTGAAGTTTCCTTCTATGTTTCTGTTATTATCAGAAATTTTCTTTAAAACTAAAACTAAATTTCGCAAAGAATTATATCTTCTTTACAATATCCAAGATATTGTAAAATAAAGATAAATGTTAGTGAAAGATAATTGTTAGTAAAAGATATTACTGTCTTACTCTCTTAAAGTCTCGTCATAAGAATATCGCTTTCTAATAATAATTAATAATAAATATAGTTACTTTTATTATATATCAAATGGCATTGTATGTATATATAATTGCAATGAATTTTTGTGTTTTAGATTTGTGAAAATTAGATATGATGTTTGATGATGTTTAAAAAGCATAACATTCATATTTCTAATCATTTTTAATAATTGATATGTTATAATTTATTAGAATTCTGCAAACTGAATTGTGTAAATGCATTAAAAATAATCAAAAACATATTTTTTTAAAGATTTATTTGTTTTTCACAAAGTTGATTAAACTTTCGAAAAATTGTAGACTTATAAATCTCTGAAAGACTTAATGATCTTTCTTTAAAAATATATAGAGATCCTTTTCTTAATCACATACGTATGCCTATGATCTAGAATTATTTTAATCGATATAGTCACGATAAAAAAGAATTCAAATACACGAAGATATATTTATGCGAATGAAAAAAGCAAAAGACACATGACGAACCGTAGACCGTGAAAAAAGGAAGAATTTAAAGAAGGTTATTGTAAAGAAGGTTTACTTAGAAAGGACATCGGCAAAAAGTAAAAAAACATTTTTTGAATCGCAGATGACATCTTTATACGCGTTGTTCGGCCCCCCCATTGCGAAAATGTCGTCACCCCATGGCGATTCGTAATTTAGTTGTATCCCACCGCATGTGCTTCTCTTCGTGGTATTTTCATGCTACCAGTTATTATCCAACAAGAGTTATAAATAAATGTGATATATTTAGTTAAAATTATGAGAAATATCTCATAAAGACTTTGTAATAATTATAAAGCCAATGTAACAATATGTATAATATATTAATGATTATAACGATTATTGTGGAAAATACAAAATATTTATCTTATACATCAAACGATGAGTATTATGTTTGCTTAATCAGCAATCAACTTTAAAACATCATCAGTCATCGATGATGAAAAATGCGTCAATTTGAGAATATCTATTTAATTATAGATTCAAAATACTTATCGTTTAGCAAAATATGAATTATGAATTTGTATAATTTTATAATTTTACAAACAGATTAAAGTATTAATATTTTATATGTTCACTTTCTTAAGACGAACACTAATCAGATTATAACCGTTTAAACATGACGAATTACTAGTTATAAGTACTGATCACGTGATCATTATCGTATTTGACACGTCCTTTGTGAAACTCCGGGAGAGCATTATTATTTTCTATTATTATATATCTCTCTCATTTTGCATGGAAAATCGTTTTTTTATAGCAACATGGCAACGGCAACGTAGCAAAATTATATTCTTCTTCCATTTTCTTGTCATATGGTCTTTTTCGTAGCATAATTTGCAAGTATCATAAGCGAGAAAATAAAACAAATCTATTTGTTTTACATAATATAAACATCGTGATGCACGTTCCTATTTGACTATCCATTGTACGTGATTTGTTTAAACAAAAAAAATATCTAAAAGGTCTTCTATTACTGTGGCGAATTATTAGCCAACTTGCCAAAGTAAATTTTTGAATCGACGAAAAAAAAATTTCCAAAAAATGAGAAATTAATATACATTAAATTTTATTTTTTCTTCTACATAAATAATATTGTATATTCAGTAATATTCATGTATACGTCATGTATCGATATTATATTAAAATCATTTTGTCATATGTCATTTTTTAAAAGCATCTGTTTTGCAGATTTTCTATCGATTAAATTTAACATTTAAAAAGCAAAAGAATTATTTTATAGATAATCTTTCAGACGTTAATGTAATAATAATAATTAAAGAATATAATTAATGAATGTTTTTATGCAAAAAACTTATTTTTATTTATTTTAGTTTATCAATTCTTCGAAATATAAAATAGCTATTTTTAGAATTTATTTTTTAACAAAATAAAATCAATTCTTATAAGTTATTATATTTATTAATAATGGTGGATATTTATTATTGTAAATTTGCGAATGTTTTTGCTATTTTCCAATATTTAAATCTTTAGTAACATTGGTCATAGAAAAGAAATTCTTTTCAATTCTTTCAATTCTTTCAATTTAATTTAACACGTTGATTAGTTTCACTGTATTGTTTTATATTTAAAATCTGTATTATACATAATGGCAATTATTTTACGATACATCAAACTTAAAATGTTATTTTGCTGAAGTTCCAATCCATGAATCAGATTTATTTTTCTAAGCACAATTCAATCTTCCTTTTGGAAAATATTCTTAAAATATTCTTAGTTTCCACAACTAAACGATTCCGTCAAGGATTATGTAATGGCAGATTGATTCTGTTCAAATCCTGATTTGTTAAATTTATTCTATATTTGTTAAATATTTGTTAAATTTATTCTTTCTTCTCGTATCAACATCTACATATATTCCTAAATTAAGTAACTAATCTTCCGCCATCCATTTCTAGATATATATATATATATATATATATATATATATATAGTACTTTATTACGTTATACACATGTAATAGTCTGTTTGATGTCTATTTGATTAAAACAATTTGGAATTTTTTAGAATTTTTGGAATCTAAACTGAGTTTCAGAAAATCAATTTATTAAATTAACTTGTTTACGGATTCATTTGTTACATCGGTTTTCCTTTAATTGTATGTATATATTGTATGTATATATATAATGTACACACTAGAAATGAGCGCTATTTATTTTCTTAAACAAAAAAGATAGAAATAAATATAATACTATTATATTATTAACTCCTTGACATGTACAATACACACAACTGTATCAAAATGACCTTTGCTATGACAGCTGCTCACGAAATAAAAAAATATCGACATCGCGGAAACGAGGCAATAATAAATTTTCGATATATGCGAAAAATCGATTTTATATGTCTTTTTTTAAAAATATATTAATTCATATAGCTTAAAAGATATTTTCTTATCTGAATGCTTTTTCGCTCGTCTATAAAAAGAAATGTATGCAATTAAAAAGAAATTAAAACAAATTAAAAATATCTTTAAAATTGCAGTGCGGATCTTAAAATTTAGAGTTAATCTGAGAGAGAGAGAGAGAGAGAGAGAGAGAGAGAGAGAGAGAAAAGCAATATTGCCATACTTACAAATTCGGTCTGTGGGCCACACTAGACACTTAGCCTTGATAAAGATGATTGACATACAAAGAACTCAAAACGAGACGACTCGTTAAGGCTATGGAGCGATTGATTCTAATATGGCTGCATTGACAAAAGAAAAGTAATATTTGCACGCACAAAAGATGGATCATAGAATGTCGTCCGACTAACTGATTCAATTCATTCAACGTCCGGCAACTTCTGCGTATTCGATCATGATGCCATTTCTATAATAATCCACTAACAAATGATTGTACTTTAATCACGGGCGTATCCAACATTTTTTTTGGGGGGGGAGGGGGAGAGGAATTTATCAATTCTGCACATAAACAGCAATGTAATTTTTTTGCATTAATGAATTGCTTTTTTGAATATTTGAATATTGAATATAATTTAGAGCTTAGAATATCGTCTCGTTTCTGATTTTAAATAAGAAAAATATTAGATTTTGTAAACCATAACGTTAACTTTAATTTTTTTTTAAATTATTTTAAATTATTTTATTTTTTAAATTACGGAGGAGTTTGAACACCCTTCGCCCCGAATACGCCCATGTTTTAATAAAAAAAATTAAGTACGAATGTTCTCTACTACACAATACAATATGTGAACAAGAGATACCTAACAGTGTCTCGCGCCTAATATGTATGTTAGCAGCGTCTCACGAGTGCGAAATTGGCAGTGTATGTTTATGCGAGCCGACCAATTGCGAGTACCTGAGATTATCGGAAATAATTGGATATATAAATTCTTCAAATAAATTCTTAATATATTTAATCGACACCTCAAGTTCGAATTGTATCAGAAAAGTATCTTTACTTTTTTATTATCTCCCTTATGGGCGAAGACATAACGAAATGTTTAAATTT